GCTGGTAGTCAATGTCGAGCTTGCCCATCTTGGGGCGACGCGCTCGCGCTGCTTCTGCTGAGGCTCTGCTGCTCCTGCTTCTCGAGCACGGCGTCGCGCATCTCGGTGATGCCCGTCTCGGCGATGAACTTGGGCAGGCGGAAGGGGGCCTTTTCGATGCCGCGCTTGGACGACAGGTACTCGCGCTTGAGGGACCAGTGGGGCGGCACGGGCACGACGTTGCGCTGGGCCTTGATCTGGACGAGCAGGCGCGGGTCGGACGACGAGACGTCCTGCCACTCGACGATTTCGGGAATCTTGACGAGGGCCTTGAGCTCGGCCACGGACAGCTTGTTGAGCTGCTTGCGCTTCTTCTTGGACAGCTTCGGCTGGCCCGTCTCCTCGTCCTCGCTGGGGATGTCGTCGTCCTGGTCGAAGAAGACGGCCTCCTCTTTTGGCGCCTCCTCGTCCTCTGCGACGCGGCCGAATCTCTTCATGATGTCTTCGAATTCCGCAAAGGCGGGATCACTCGTCTCGACAACGACGTCGATATCGAAGCCGTCGGGTCCGTCCATGTCGCTCGCGCTGGGGCCATCCTTCACAGCGAGGTCGGCGGCCGAGGTCTCTGCTTCGGGGGCATCCTGTGGCTTCTCGTCGGCCGAGTCGGCGGGTGTCGTTGTGGTGGTCTGTGGGCGAGGGGGAAGAGGCAGGCGGCGTCAGCTTGGAGCTCAGATTCGAGGGCAGGTTCTGTTCTGGGGTTGGTGCCGCAGCAGCGCACTCACCTCTGCTTGTGCCTTCTTCTGCTCCTTCTTCTTGGCGCGGCGCATCTGGTTCTTGGTCATCTTTGGTGCCGCCATGTTGAACTGGTGCGGGCCGCGTCGGCGGCGGATGACAGGCGCTGGCGGCGGATGGCAGGCGCTGGCGTGGCGATGTCTATGGAAGGGTCCGAGGCAGTGGCGTGGTGCCTGGAGAGGTGGATGGGGCAGGAGGGCAATGTAGAGGATGGCTGGATCAGGACAGGCAGCGAGGTTCGTGGATTCAATGGTCGAGGGGTTGCCGCACGTGACGATGGGGGATGCGGTCGGAGTTGCACCTGGAGAAGGCTGAAGGTTTTCCAGGTCGCGGCAGAGGCCAAAAGATTCCAGAGGCCACAAGATTCCAGAGGTGCATTGCCTTTGCATTGTCTTTGCACATTGCTTTAGCATTGCCTTGGCGTAGAATAGTGCATTAGGTCATCCTTTGGCGCATGAAGAGTGGAGCAGAACCGAGCTTGGTACCACAATGTTTGCGGTACATTGGCTACCTAGATTGGCACAGATGTCGACTCGGGTCTCTGATCACCATGTATCGGCCGAAGACACGTCATGTCAAACGGCTATTGATCGAGGTAGAGGGCCTGTACATTGACCAGACCCAGGGCCACTGACTTTTTACGTTATTCTTCAGGTACAGACGGAGGTTGCCTGCACCAAGTGCCTGCACCCGGTGCAAACTGCTAGGTACCTATAACCAGAGCCGTATCAGTACTACTCCTAGGCCACGAGCAGCCCAGGCAAGCAGGCAAGCAGGCAAGGCACGGTGTAGGTTCCTGCTCCAGGCCCAGCACGTACCCTACTGCCCCAAGCCCCTAAGCAGGCCCGCTGGAGCCCCATGCTACGGGTACTGGGCCTGCTGGAGCAGGAGCATTGCTTTCGCTCTAGTGCCTCACACGGGATCCAACCCTCCTGTACTGTCCCTGTCCTGTCAGCCCGTACCTCACACGACAACGTTGCACACCTCCACTGGACTCTGCTTGATCTCTCGACTGTTGCGCATCAACCCGTCTTGTGCCCATACTTCTTGTCTCTCTGCCGGACCCTTCCATCATGTCCTGATCACCGCCATTGCCATCATTTGCGCTTCCCTGTCCGCCCCCCCAGTCACTCGTTCTGTCAGGCCGCCGCCGAGACCAACCCACGCTCTGCCTCCTTCTGGCTCCATCCAGCTTCTCCACCTCCACCAGTTTGACCCTGGAATGCGATAAGACACGACGCACTCGCCACGACAAGGACGACAACGACGCCAAGGACGCATCGCGTATCGCGTATCGCGCCATGCCTCACTCTCACGCCCACCATCCCAACACCTCCTCCGCCAGACGCTCCCCCTCGCTCAATCGATCCTTCACCCTGTCCACAGCCCACGTCGACGCCCACAGCCGCCCGCCATCCGAGGGCATGGAAAAGTTCCCCGACCACATCGACGCCCACCTCACCACGAGCCTGCCGTCTCGCGGCGCCAGTCCGGCCCGGGGCCAAGGCTATGCGACCGCCAACGGCCTCAACGGCCTCAACGGCCTCGACGGACCGCGCGACAACTGGCAGCCGCGAAGGGAGAGCCGTGTGCGCTTCGGCCCGCCCGGTCAACCGCCGCCCGTCACGCCCCAGGCCCGCGGCCACGGTCGCCAGAAGAGCCTCAGCGATGCCTTTCGCACCATCCGTTCGAGGCAGGGCAGCGTCAGCCAGAACGCACACGAGATTGCCGACGCGCTGCGTGCGCCCGTCTCGCCCACCTTGGTCGTACGTTGCCCCTCCACTATCCCTCGATTCTGATGATCAGACAGCCCAGAGAAGGAGGGCCGAAGAAGGAGGGCCGAAGAAGGAGGGCCGAAGAAGGAGGGCCGAAGAAGGAGGGCCGAAGAAGGAGGGCCGAAGAAGGAGGGCTGAAGAAGGAGGGCCAGAGACGGCCAGAGACGGCCAAAGACGGCCAAACAAAGACGCACGCAGCTAACCTGCCCCTCTGACAGATCCTCTGCCTGCTGTGGTACGCCTCGTCCGCGCTGACAAACACATCCTCCAAGTCCATCTTGACGGCCTTCGACAAGCCGGCGACCCTGACCCTCGTGCAATTCGCACTTGTCGCAACCTACTGCCTGCTCTTCGCCTGGCTCGCCTCCGTCTTCCCCCAGCTCAAGACCAGCATCCCCGCCCTGAAGCACGGCATCCGCTACCCGACCCACGACGTCATCAGGACGACGGCGCCCCTCGCCGCCTTTCAGATCATCGGCCACCTCCTGAGCTCCTCGGCCACCTCCAAGATCCCCGTGTCGCTCGTCCACACCATCAAGGGGCTCTCGCCCCTCTTCACCGTCCTCGCCTACCGCTTCGTCTTCAACATCCGCTACTCGCGCAACACATACCTCTCCCTCGTGCCCCTGACCCTCGGCGTCATGCTCGCCTGCTCCGGCAAGCACACGGCCTACGGCGGCGAGCTCGTCGGCGTCATCTACGCCTTCCTCGCCGCCATTGTCTTTGTCACCCAGAACATCTTCTCCAAGAAGCTGTTCAACGAGGCCGCCAAGGCCGACGCCGCCGGCCTGTCGGCGCGCTCGCAAAAGCTCGACAAGCTGAACCTCCTGTGCTACTCGTCCGGCATGGCCTTTGTCATCACCGTGCCCATCTGGTTCTGGAGCGAGGGCCTCGCCATCGTGCGCGACGTCCTGCACGACGGCGCCGTCGACCTGCGCCAGAACCCCGACGCCTTTGACCACGGCCGCCTCGCCGTCGAGTTTCTCTTCAACGGCACCTTTCACTTTGCCCAGAACATCCTCGCCTTTGTGCTCCTGTCGCTCGTGTCGCCCGTCACCTACTCGGTCGCGAGCCTGCTGAAGCGCGTCTTCGTCATCGTCATCGCCATCCTCTGGTTCAAGGGCTCGACCACCCCCGTCCAGGGCCTCGGCATCGCCCTCACCTTTCTCGGCCTCTACCTCTACGACCGCACCCACGACCGCGAAAAGGCCGACCACAAGGCCAGCATGCTCGAGACCCCCAAGGCCGAGCCCCTGCTGCCCCTCAACACGCGCGACCTCGCCTCGAGCCAGAACGCCCCCGTCTTTGACAGCCCGATCACGTCGGCGTCGGTGACGGCGACGGCGGCCACGACGGCGACGGCGCCGCTCAACCCCAACGGACTCTACGACGTCCAGAAGAAGACGGAAGATGGCCCCGGCAGCAGGACGCCGGGGGAGGGCAAAACGGCGTGGCTCGCCCGCGGTACGAGACAGGAGGACACGTGGCGGGTGGGCGATAGTCGGGCCGGCTTATGATGTATTCTGTGTATGCATTTTTTTTTTCTTCTCCTTTTCGGTGACTGGTGTTATGTAGCATGAGCTCTTCGTTCCATTGTACGAAAACTCTGCCGTCTTTCTACAGGTTGCGAGGCCACCAAAAAAGGGAGGGGGCGGGCGACGGGCGCATAGAGCGGCGTCCTGGAGATGAGTGTATAGAAGAACGAAGAAGACACGGCGTTCAGGTCATGACGAGAGGCCATTTATCTAGCGCGCTCGCCTCGTAGGGTAGGATGAGGTTTGCACGTTGGCCGGAAGGAAGCAAAAATGATACATCTTCAGAGCGGCGTTCACGAGCGGCGTTCACGTGCACATTGAGGTCAACTCCTTCAATTCTCCGTCTGTGACCTCGCACCCCAGTCGATCAGTCAATCAGTCAATCAGCCACTCCTCGACCTCGACGCCGATACTCCTGCCGACGCCGCGAATAACGTCCCAGCCGACATTGATGCGCCACTTGCCGCCGCGGTCCGTCACGTCGCCCGACACGCCGACGCGCACGAGCAGACGCAGGCTCGCGAGCGTCGACAGCGCCATGCCCACGTCGCCGTCGAGGCCCGCGGCCCCGGGGCCTCCACGTCGCGCCGCCGCCGCCGTCTGCCCACTCGGCGCGCACGGCGGCGAAGATGGCGAGCATGCGCTCGAGCACAAAGGCGTGGGCGCCGAGGAGCTTGCGCGCAATCTTGCGGTGCTGCTGCTTGGCGCCGCGGCCGGTCCCGGAGCGGGGCGCCGCGAAGCCGCCGCCGCGGCGCTTGCGGCGGCCGTGGTGGTAGGTGGAGAAGAGGGCGAGGTCGTGGCGCGTGGCGTTGTGGGAGGCGAGGTAGGCGGCCAGCAGCAGGAGGCGGGCCGTCGTGGGGAGGAGCGAGGCGAGGTCGGGCGTGGTCTGCTGGGTCGGCACCGCCTTGGCTGTGGTTCTTGTTGGTGTTTGGCCCTTGCTGGGGGTCGTCGTGGTGGTGGCTGTCGTGCTGCTGCTTGTGTTGGCGGCATTGGCGGCGTTGGCGGTTGGCCTGAGGGCGATGATGCTCGGGTTTAGGATAGATTCGTCTTGCAGGTGGACGCGGGCGTGGATGAGGAGCTTGGAGAACTCGCGGGCGCCGTGGGTTCCGGCGGCGACGGGTGCCGTGAAGCGCGGCCAGAGAATATCGCAGGCGCGGCGCAGGGCGGGCAGGGTTCGAGAGGCGGAGACGGCCAGGGCGTCATGGACGGCGGCGCAGAAACGGGGCCAGAGGAATTTCATGTCGTCCTCGGTCGTGTTGGGCACCGGCGCGGGTATGGAGGGGGCCATGATCTTGACGTAGTCGGGTTTGGAATAGTTGGGAAAGTGTATGTGAGGCACAAAGGAGGTTCGCAAGAAACCCGCTGGGGGCGTTGTCAGGATGAAGACACAGGTCAGCGAGGGGATCTGTGGGTCTTTGGTCAGCGTTGATGTTCTCGGGCCACTCGAGAGTCAGGGACATGCCAGCTCAGGCAGCCGTGCGAGGGCGGGCAGCAGGGTGTGCGGCGCCTCTCTTTGTCGGTCGATCGAGTCGAAGACGAGGACGAAGCGCGAATGTGGTGGTTGGGATTGGCCGTCCTTCAGCATCTTGGAGAGCTCAACGGCGAGCTGGGCGGTGGTTTCGCAGGCTCTGGGCCGCGTATGCCATCCGAGGGCGTCCACAACGGCATTGAGTGTCCTTTCAAAGAGGTGCCTCGCCGTAATGCATTGTATCGAGTTCATGATGGCGTAGTTGTCACCGATGCTGCGCCGGTCGCTGCCAGCATGGGGTGAGGCCAATTGACGCAGCAGCGCTTCGACAATGGCTGACTTGCCCGTCGCCTCTGTTCCGTGGAGGACGATGTTGCGACATGGTGCGGAAGTGGGCTAGGCGCAATGGTCAGCGGTCAGCGGTCAGCGGTCAGAACTGCCATGGGTTTGGAAGGGTGGGAGGTGGCGACGTACAGCAATGAGGTTTGTAAGGGATCGAATCTGGGGTTCTCGGCAGGGAAAGGTATCGAGCAGGGAGGAGAGACTGGTGTCGTCGGGAGGCTGAAAGAGAGGATGCATGGCTGGTCGTGATGGTGGTGTGTGTCGTATGGGCTGTCCAAGTCTAAAATGATGGCGATGCAGCAACTCCAGGCGCGTCCATGTGGGATCGCGACTGGAGCCTTGACGCGAAGTCAAGTGACTGCGGTACGCCAGAGTCTGTACCTAGGCAGGTACCTAGGCAGGTACCTAGGCAGGTACCTAGGCAGGTACCTCTAGGCGTGGGTACACCAAGGTACATAGTACCTCAAGGTAGGTACCTCACCTAGGTAGCCACCTTAGGGGGAGGCCAGGGTTAGGGTTGAGACCGCTGTGCCGTACCAACGTCGCACGTCGCATATCCATGACGCGTGGTCATGTGGTTATGCCAGGTCTGGCCCTCGAACGGCAGATGCCATCCAATGGCAACAGATGCCTTCCAATGGCAACAGATGCCATCCAATGGCAACTCTGTGGCTCTGTAGTCTCTGTAGTCTCTGCAGTCTCGTCGTTGAAGACGCAAGCACCCTGCCAGGCACCAGTGATTTCCGACTCCTCAACACCTCAGAGCCATCCCAAGGCCAAGGGACCTGGCACGCCGTGGTGCGTGTGGACCAGTCGAAGGATTCGGCACCTGTCCCCTTGCGCTTGACTGCCTCGTGCTTGGCCGAGAGACCATCAACAGTCATCGAACTGTCTGCTATTCTATCCATCTGGCGACGGAAACCTTGGCTCGGAGCCAATCCTCTGTTCCTGTACTTTTGAGTGTTGGTTGCGCTTGGCTCACACTCACGCAGGCAGCCCCCCTCTCGCTCATCTTCGTACCCAAGGTACCTTACCTTCGTACCATAGTGAACAGACATCATGAGTACCTCACCCGACTCAGATCCGGATCCCCCCGCCCTGCTGGCCTCGGACGGCACAGCCAAACCGTATCACTCAAAAAGGCCACACAAAAAGACGCGGTCCGGTTGCAAGACGTGCAAGGCGCGCAAGGTCAAATGCGATGAGGGCCGCCCGGCATGCCGCAACTGCGTCCTGCGCAAGGTCGACTGCCTCTATCCCGTCACCGCCGCGTCCGCCAAGTCGGCCACCCTCAAGCGCACCATCACGCCTCGCACACCCACCTCGGAGCCATCGACGTCCCTAGTGGCCAGTCCCGAGACGAGCCGTCGCCCGTGGGACCCGAGCCCCATCATCGAGCCCTTGTACATACCGCCCGGTCAACATGACGCCCTCGACATGAAGCTGCTCTGGTTCTACACCACCAACACCTTCAACTCCTTTCTCACGCCCAGGGACAAGGGCGAGCGCGTCAACGAGATTCTCCGCGTCAAGATCCCCTCCTACGCCTTTGAGAATCGCTTTCTCATGGACTGCCTGCTCGGCCTGTCTGCCCTCCAGCTGGAGAACCTCAACCAGGAGGTCGACCCGTCGCGCGCCCTCTACTATCGCTCGTGCGCCTTTGAGGGCTACCGCAAAGCCATCGAAAAGGCCGACGTCGACACCTTCCCCGCCCTCATCGCCTGCTCTCTCCTGCTCGTCGCCCTGTCGTCCCAGATGTTCCGCGAGGTCACGACCAAGCGCCTGCACATACTCGACTGGATGGTCGTCTGGCGCGGCATCGGCCTCATGATCCGGCTCGCGAGCCCCCGCAAGCTCTGGGAGGCCGGCCTCGCCGAGCTCTTCTTCCGCCCGCCCATCGACCTCAACTCGTCGTCGCTGCACATCCCCAACAACCTGCTCTTCATGGTCTCCACCATCCGCGACGACGACCCCGACCACGCCCACGTCGACACGTACTACCACTGCCTGCAGTACCTCGGCTCCCTGTACCAGGAGCTGCGCCAGGGCCTCAGCTCCATCCTCAACATCCGCGCCAGGGCCTCAGCTCCATCCTCAACATCCGCGCCATGACCTGGTTCACCTTTGTGCCGCCCGACTTTGTCGAGCTCGCCAAGCTGCGCCGCCCGCGCGCCCTCGTCATCATTGCCCACTACGCCATGTTCGTCAAGGTCGTCGACACCATCTGGTGGCTGCGCGGCGTCGGCGACACGAGCATCCGCGACATCCTCGAGCACCTCGACCGCGACGCCTCGGACCACGCCTGGGACGACCTGCTCGCCACGCCCCGCGCCGCCCTGCGCACCGACCGCCCCGTCGACACGGCCAAGGTCATCCTCAACGACCCCGTCTGGCTGCCGCCCGCCACCGACGACGCGCTCTGCCCCGAGGAGGCCTCGCGCCTGCCCCTCATGCTGTCGCTCGTCAGCCAGCGCGGCAAGCTCATGCGCTACGACAGCGCGTCGGGTCGCCACGTCGAGCTCGACGACGGGCCCGTCCTCGACGTCGCCACCAATATCCAGAGCTACATGTGCGGCAACCATCTCCGCAAGGCCGACCCGAGCCTGGCGACCCACGATGGCACCGAGGACTTTGAGGACGGGCCTTTTGCCGTCTTCCGGAGGATCCCCTTGCGATGATGAGCCTTTTCTTGCTCGTTTTGTATTTTATCTATTTGGACAGAGCGTACGTGCTGGGTAGGCGGGGTTGGCGTATTGGCCGTGTTCTTGGCGTGCCCTCTTTTGCATGACCGATCTGTGAGACGATATGAAGGAGCTGCGAGTGTAGCGGACACACTCATCTTTAGAGAATTACACGAAGGATTATGCCGTGTTTAGTCTATGAAACTTATGAATACTCTACTTTTGCAATGTCCATATAATGCAATAAAGCGTGCTCCGTCGGATGGCATATGGGAATTCGTCGATGAGAGTATGTCGAGACAAAATTCACATATAGACCATGTTCGAAACATTGACCTGAGTATTGCAGAGTCACTTTCACGAGCAAGACATCATTCTCTTCTGCACAATAAACAACTTTCTAGGTCACCACTTTTTAAAACCCCCGAGTTTCGGCGTCTTATTTGTTTCTACTTTTTCCACCGTTGTAATGTCAGACTAGATCACAACACTTTCACTGCCTAAGGCATTCTGACGCAACTCAACTGCAACGAGAATATGAGCGCAAACCCGAGTCCACCGCGCCCATGCCTACCAAACAAGTTGGCACCAAGCAATGCTGAGCATCCAAGCTCCAATAGCTTCCATCGACACTGACACTTGACCAAGGCTTAAATTGGTTCACTGCAGTAGCACCAGTCCGCAATGTCATGTTACATCGGAAAATGCCTCACGTTTAACCTTCATTGAACATCACAGCATGAACCCGAAATGCACTAGTTCACAGCACACGCACCGAAGCTGGGACAATTGGAGGAATTATGTGAATTTCTTGGTACACAGCCCACAAAAGAGACTTGATTGAGCTAAGGGAGAACCTCGCATCCCAACGATCCTCTTCTATACACAGGCCAGGACCCCATCAGATCGACGCAACGCTTCGTAGGTATCGACTTCCCGGGCCACTTAGTTCTTCTCAAGATCCGCAAGAATCTTCTCACCCTTCGCCCTGGCCGAGGCCAGGTCACCAACCATGTAGAAGGCGGACTCGGGAAGGGCGTCACCCTCACCGTTGAGGATGGCCTTGAAGGAGGCAATGGTCTCCTTCAGGTCAACGAGCTGACCCTCGATACCAGTGAAGACCTGGGCGACCGTGAAAGGCTGCGACAGGAAACGCTGGATCTTACGGGCACGCTCGACGGTGAGCTTGTCAGCCTCAGACAACTCGTCCATACCCAGAATGGCGATGATGTCCTGGAGCGACTTGTACTCCTGGAGGATCTGCTGGACAGCCGAAGCGGTGTCGTAGTGCTCCTGGCCGACGATACGGGGGTCAAGCATACGCGACTTGGAGTCGAGGGGGTCGACAGCGGGGTAGATACCCAGCTCGGAGATGCCACGGGACAGGACAGTGGTGGCGTCAAGATGGGCGAAAGTGGTGGCGGGAGCAGGATCAGTCAAATCGTCAGCAGGGACGTAGACGGCCTGCACGGAGGTAATGGAACCCTTCTGGGTCGTGGTAATACGCTCCTGCATGCCACCCATGTCAATGGCAAGGGTGGGCTGGTAACCGACGGCAGAGGGGATACGACCCAGCAGGGCAGACACCTCGGAACCGGCCTGAGTGAAGCGGAAAATGTTGTCGATGAAGAGAAGCACTGCGACGGATTAGTTCAGGCGCTCGCGCAAAAAGGCATATCTCATATAAACGTACCGTCCTGGCCCTCCTCGTCACGGAAGTATTCGGCAATAGTCAAACCAGTGAGAGCGACACGGGCACGGGCTCCGGGGGGCTCGTTCATCTGACCGAAGACGAGGGCGACCTTGGACTCGCCGTCAAGCTGAATGACGGAGGTCTCCTGCATCTCGTGGTACAGATCGTTACCCTCACGGGTACGCTCACCGACACCAGTGAAGACAGAGTAACCACCGTGAGCCTTGGCGATGTTGTTGATGAGCTCCTGGATGAAGACGGTCTTGCCGACACCGGCACCACCGAACAGACCAATCTTACCACCACGGGCGTAGGGGGCAAGGAGATCGACGACCTTGATACCAGTGACGAGAATCTCGGCAGTGGTGGACTGGTCGGTGAACGCAGGGGGCTCGGCGTGAATGGGCAGCGTCTTCTTGGTCTTGATGGGACCGCGCTCATCAATGGGGTCACCAGTGACGTTCATGATGCGACCCAGGGTCTCGGGACCGACGGGAATGGTGATGGGGGCACCAGTGTCGGAAGCCGGGTGGCCACGGACAAGACCCTCAGTACCTGGTCAAACATGTTAAATGAGGCCTAAAAATTGTGCATGGCAATCAGTACTTACCGTCCATGGCAATGCAGCGGACGACATTCTGGCCAAGATGTTGCTAATCAAAGTTATGAGCTACGATGTATTGCAAATAGGCGTTGTGGCCCCTTTTTTTTTTTGGTTTGGAGTGGCAACGTACCGCGACCTCAAGGACAAGCTTGTTGCCGTTGTTGGTGGTCTCAAGAGCGTTCAGAATGGGAGGAAGACGGGCGCCATCGAACTTGACTGCAAAAAAATGTGAGTAAACACGTCGCGGACGGCGAAATGACGATGCGACGAGATGGAAAAAGTTTTTCGTCTTTCGTGGTAGTTACGTACCATCGACAACGGCACCGATGACCTGCAGAGTTGTTGTTGTCAGTAACCGAGCTTCTCCTCAATCCTGCAGCCGGCGGCTCGGCTGGTCGGACCAGCGGCAACCGCATCATCCGAACCAACTCACCTGGTAGATCTTGCCATCACCGACGCTCGAAGTGCTCGCGAATCGGGAAGCGACAGGGAATCTGAGGGTCGAGGGCCTGATGACCCGGGGCGAGGCGGTCGCCGCGAAAGAAGGGCGAGCCGCTCGGGCGAAGGAAGAAATGCCGCTGCGACGACAACGTCAGTTCAATTGACCCCAATTGAGCGCGCGAAAGCTCGCAAAGTGGCTTCCGACGTCGAAACTAACCTCTTGAACATCTTGCCAGATGACTGAGAGCGATTTCGGATGGGAGTGGAGAGGTGATGGTTGAACTTCCAGGAGGACTTGGGGAGAAGTGAGCAGTTTTGCTCGGGATCCAGGCTTCGTCGGGTAGAGCTTTGCCTGGGGAGTCACGTGAGTCTGTCCTTCCCGGGTTCAGGAACATTATGCGGCAGGAGCTTGGCGCGAGCTACACCGGATTGAGGTCTACTCTCCTACCGGGTTTTTCCGCGGGGCCCCCTTTCATATCCAATGGCAACCGCCCGCAGAGGCCAACAAGCCACCCAGCAACCTCAAAGCGACATTAGCTAATCCTCAGGCTTCACCCATTCTGGCGCCTGACAGCCTAAGGCAGTTCACGATGTTCCACAGTTGCGAACGAGCCATGGACTTGACAGCGTCATGATTTGTCCAGAGCCTGGCCATTGACCTCTTGTCAAATTACTGCAATTATCATCACGGGCATTGCTCCGTGCTGCAGATTTTCGTTGCTCGACCATATCTTTCCACGCACCGGAAAGATGAGTTTACGGAACTTCCTGGCCCTGGGCATCGCCGTGGGGTCTGGCGTCCTCATTAGTATGTCGATATATCATGTTCGTCCACGTTGAACCATGACGCTGATCCCCCAATGGGCACGTATACTCTCGGCCCTGCCTTTGCGGAACAAGCGCATCACCGCCAGCTTGAGCTCAAGACCAAGGACGCCTCGCTGTCAGATCCAACCAACGACGGTCAATCGAACAAGACGATGACCGACACCTCTCCGCCACCCCGGACATCGACTAAAGCATCTTAATACGGTTGGCGACGTTGTCGCGTTTGGTGTTATTTGTAGAATTATGCGAGAGCCAGGTGATCGCCCACCTGGGCTCGCCTCTTGACCGCCGTGTATCATAAACATAATGCTCGGACATATACCTGAAGGGCACAGAAAGGTTACTCGTGTTCTAAACATCCGCCGAGCAGCTTGTCGCCGCATTTTCTTGGTAAATCCGAGATAGTCCGCCGAATGCCAGACTTTACGGCGAAGCTCCTGTGAGACAGCCAAAACAGCTGTTTTTCCTGAAGAGCATACAGCAAGCTACGTCGATCTAGCTTGGCTGGGTGAAGCTCGGGAGCAGGTAAGGAGCTGCTTGGTCCATTGCAGGCGTCCAGATTCCAGCCGTGCAGTCTATAATTACGTTTCTGGCTGCAGTTTCCGATACTTGCACGAGCTCCTGCAGTGGACCGGTGTCAGTGTGCGAGAGAAAATGTAATACCGGGACCATATATCACTATACACTCCGCAAGAAACCGCCCCTTGAACCAATTGAACAATAGCGTATTGTATTCAATCTCATAGAAAAGTCAATTGCACAGCAACATTCGTGCACCCACTATTGATGGACTTGAACTGTAAGAGCAGCTGTCGAAGGAGCTTTCAAGTGCTCGCATCGATGTAAAGCACGTGACTCCGTATTAGTCACTCCATTGCCGAACAATTTTCGGGCCAGTGGCAGCTGTTCGATTACAACGGGGCCATTGGACGGATCGAGGTTCCATCATACGACAACCCCAAAAAACCCTCTCCTCTCTCCCTGACCACCCAAAGCCAGTTCCGTCCCGGCCCATCCAGCAATTGCGGCATCCCACCACCTTCGCAAACCCCGTCGACCGAAGCGACCTCCTCTGTACAGATACCCGAGACCGGACAGCCGATTTCTTTCACCTCAGCCCCCCCTCGATCAAGATGATGCGAACCCAGGTCTCGTCGCTGCTGCGCGCCGCGCCTCGGTACCAGCAGGCCATGGTCATCCGCCGCGCCGCCACCACCCACGCCATCTCCAACCCGACCCTCGCCAACATTGAGAAGAGGTGGGAGACGATGCCTCTCCAGGAGCAGGCCGAGCTGTGGATGGCCCTGAGGGATCGCATGAAGGGTCCCTGGCAGGAGCTGACCCTCCAGGAGAAGAAGGCTGGTGCGTTTTCCTCGGAAGCCCCGATCCCCCCCCCCCTAACATGACACGGCCTCAAGAGGAAAGCGGAAC